TAGCAGATAGTAGTTGAAAGTATACATTTTTATATTATGATTTTAATATATAATTAACTATTGAGGGTTACAAGCTTTCAAAAATTTTCATGTTTTTTCATGACAATGATGGCAAAATTTTATCTGGCATTTTAAAAATACGATTGATTTATTAATAATAATAAATAAAGTAATTAAATTACCTGTCCATTTTGATACCAATAAAAAGATCAGTGTCTATCTGGTAATCTGTATATTAATATATTGACTGTTTATTTTAACAAGAATCATACAAGATATTAATCTTAGAAGAATTTATTAAGAAATAACTAAAATGTGTTTGTTCATTTTTTGGTTGTGCTTTTGTGATTGAAGATAAAATTTCTGAGGATAATATAAAGTAATTGTGAGTAATAAAAATGTCTGAATTTTAGAAGTTACTATTAAATTCTATTTTCTTAATAAAAAAAAATTTATTGTTATATGTTCTTTAAATTTTTAAATAAAAAAACTTTTTAAATCAAAACTGTAATGCATAATCTTTTCAATATTAAACAAATAAATAAAATTGTTCAATATTCTAAATGTTAAATAATAAAACTTAGCTGATAATTTAACAAAGTGTTTTCACTTTTTATTTTATTGTAATGTGTAATGCATGAAGTCAGTTTATTTCTTGAATATCATATGATTAATAATATAACATTCTAAATAAAACCGTTAGAAAAAAAATCAAACATATTTACTTGAAATTCTTATTCTTTGCTTTCATTTATATGTTAAAAAATTGAACATACTTATAAAAATTTTTAAAATAAAATTTCATATAATACAATATGATTTTAATTTAATTTAGAAGTCAGTTTAAAAATCTACTGGATGCTGTAATTGTAAACTATAGACAATGAGCTTATAATTTTTTTTACAAATTTTTAATTAAATATTCATTTGAATACTGTGATTGTTACAATTTATTATTTGTTTATAATGAAGTTAATTTATTTTTTCCTAGCTTGTATAATTTGATTTAAATGAAATTATATAATAAAAAAATTAATTTTTAAATTTAATTGTCTAATTTATACTGAAATTTTGAATGTGCATTTCTAAACTTTTATATTAATTTGATTTTTTTATAACTACAAAAAAACTAAAACTCAATAATGAGTAGAATAAACAATAGTATTTAATTAGTAATTAAATGTAATTAAATAAATATTTTTAATTATGTTTATTGGCTGCCTTCAGATTTGACTTTTAATAGCTTGTTTTTTTAATCTACAATATATTCAATTCTGAAGTTAGTTAATAAATTCAGCTGGAAATGTCTGTTATTTAATTATAATTTATTGCTAGAGTTAAGGTTTCCAACTTTCAGAGTAACAAATTCCAAACACATTGTGGATTGTGGAAAAAACCATCAACTTAAAAAAAGTGATGAGCAAAAGAAAATCTAAAATTAAACTTGGGAACATTTTTTTCTTTTAAAATCAAAACTATTGACACTTTTTCAGCAAATGGGTTTAATCATTAAACAAAAGTACAAACATTTTCGGTTTATAAAATAAATAAATAAAAGTTTTGTATATTTGTTTAATGATTAAACCCATTTGCTTGAAAACTGTGATTGGTTTTCATTTTAGAAGTTATCTTTTTGGTTTTTTTATTAGATTTTTTTTCCTATACTTGATGATGATGATTGATGATGAGATAGTCAGATAGCTGAGGCAGTTAAGGTGTCACCCTACCATTCTGGGAACCAAAGGATTGAATTTGGGTGCACAACCACAGGAATTTTTCATGGGCAGTCTGTTTTGGATATACCAGGCATTCATCCCCTTGCCAACCTGCTGCCCCATTGTGGACATGTCTGAGCCCATGAAGTGCTTGAAAAAGGGAAAAGTTAAAAGAACATACCACCTTGTTGATTATTTGAAAATTTCCAGTTTTTGTTTTTCAAATAATTTAAAAAAAGAAATAACTGAAATTCCGAACAGATGCAACCCTAACTGGATTAAAAGTTATTGTTTATTTTACTGATTTTTATTGTTTTATATGTTAATTTCTGGACATCATTTTTGTTATTTACAAGGTATACAAGATGGTCCAAAAGTCAGTTAAAAGACATATATTTTTAAGATTATTCTAAGAATGGTTAAAACCAATTTAGAACAGATTTGTGCTCTTATTTGTGATTTAATAGTATTATTGGAAGGGATTAAAATATAGGACATTATTCAATAAAGCAGCTTTAATATAGTTGGATAAGAAAGCCGACGACATATCCCATTTCATTTGAAATTGACTATGTCGTTGGTTTTCTTATCCAGTTATATTAAGGCTGCTTTACTAGGTAAATTGCATCTTATGAATAATAAGCTGTAACTGTTTCAAATTGGTTTTAATATATATTTTAAATGTTATCTCAGCTAACTGACTTTTGGGCTTCTCTGTATCTAATAATAAATGCAAAAATATTTATTGAATTAATGTCAAACAATAATCAAATAATTTATTGTAAATTAATTTTTTAAAAATTCATTTAAAAATAAATATGCATTTAAAATTTTATAAATTGTATCATTGTTTCTATAAATTCAAAATTTATCATCAGCTAAATGATGAATCTAAAATAATTTTAATTTGTACTGTACATTTAATGATTGAAGTTTTCATAAAACTTGTTATAAAATATTAAGCACAGTAATTTTTAATTTAAAGTATGAAATTTTTAACATGGAACTTACAAAAATATAATAAGTATAAAATTGTAATTCAACAAGTATAAAAAAAACAGTAATATAATTTTTACAATTAATAGTTCCTTGTAATGGGATAAATATCTTAATTATAATTATACTTTAATTATATTATTTACTTTATACCATAATTAATTATATAAACCTTTATAACTTAATTAAAAATAAATAAATGTTTAATATCATCAATAACAACAAACAAAACTGTTTTAATATACAGTATTTAATAATTTATTATAACCTTATTTAATAGCTTTATCATATAGAATTTTATTTAAATATAAAATTAATCATTGAGATATAATAATGAAAAAAATATATTTTTTAAATGATTATCTTTTTTATTGTTGAAGAATGAAATAAATACTTTTTACATAGAAAGTTGTAGAATTTGAATGTACATCCAAAAATGAGAATATATTACTAGTAATAGAAAATACTTTAGTTAAATTTTAAAAAGTTTTAAAAATGAGATTGTAAAATTCAATTCAACTTTCTTGTTTTTTAAATGATATTTTTTCAGAAATTTTAAATGCTATTGAGCTATGCACCTATCCTCAGGAATTGCCTAAATAAATAATTAATTGACTCCTGAGAATGGGCATGTAACCCAAAGGCACTTGAGATTTCTGAAAAATTTTCATTCTAAAATGGTAATTTGAAGTGAATTTTATACTTCAAGAGTTTCTTCAATAAGTATATAATTCAAATGTATTACTAGCTATTTTAAATTGAACTTTTTTTTTTATTTCTTCTGTTTTTTTGTTTTTGAAAGAGAAATAACAGAAAAATTATAAATTATGTTTTTGTTATTATTATTATTCAATTATTTTATAATTGAAAACGGCTATGAATATTAAATTAGTTTACCACTTTTGTGTACTTGATAAGTTTTAAAATATTGTTTCTAATTTTTCATACTTTCAAATTAAAAATTTGCATTTATTTCTATTTTAAACTGTTTAGATAGTTTAAAATAGTTTGTCTTTAGTAAAACATTTTGATAATTATCTCAACAGTTATTAGTTTTAGAGATTTTTTAAATTGAAAAGAAGCACAAAAAAGAAGAGTAAACAATGTCTGAGTTTATTCATTAAAAACAATTTTGATTTGACATAGTTTATTAACTTTGTCAAGTTTCAAAAATTTATTTAACGTTTTTTATAACAATGTTATAATAATATAAAAAAAGTCCTTTATAGTTTGCAATTAATAACTTTTATTGCATTTTTTTTTAGAGGNGAAAAATTTGTAAATATTCATTAATAAAATTAATGAATCACATTTATTGTTCATGTAATGGTGAAAGTGTATATATTGTCTTTCCATTTTATATATCTCAGTTATGAAACCTAGATGCAATAGAAACAAAGGATAAAAATTATATTGTTTTAAAACTTCATTCTTCTTTTTAGACAATCTTAATTATATATTTAGGTAAACCACAATACAATGTAGGCTATGTAATATTGTAATATATATATATAATGCAATTTATCATGTGTGTGTGTATGTGTATTGTATATTTTTAAATTGTTTTCTATCTTTATTACAGAGTTTAAAAAAAGTTTTTTTTCCACATTTAAGTAAAATATTTTCCAAATGATGACATTTATATCTGTTAAATGAAAAAAAACAAACATATATTTCGAAAATAATTAAAAGTATATCATCATAAAATTTAAAACAACAATAAAAAAATAATAGAAAGAAAAATTAATATGCAAAATTACTAGATGGCGCTGCTTATCCATCATAAATTTTTTAAAAAATGTTAATATGAAAAAGAAAAAAATTAATTGCAGATCGTAAAATTTCTTAATAAATAACGTCGATTATGTAAATAGTCGTAAGAAGAAAAAAAAAAAACATAAGAACTTAAAACTGACAATTTAAGACACAAACAATGCATCGTTATATAAAATTCGCGTGACAAAATTCAAGGCAAAATGTTTCCGAAAGTTACATTTATTTATTTTCTATTATATTTTAATTATAAAAACTTGGAAGCAATAATAATAATAACAAATAATTTTTTCCGATTATTAATTAAACGAATGTATATATATATATAAATATCATCATACATAAAAAAAACATGAAAAACAAAAGAAAAACTCAAGACAATACTTAAAATAATAAACAAACGATTTGATTAGATATTTGTAATCGATTAAAATAATTAAAAGCGAGTAATATCATTGGTACTTTCGACTTTGGAAGTAAGAAATTGATAGGAAAGATCCCGAATTCGTTTCGATAATAAAACAAACAAATGAAAATAAACTTATTAATCGCATTCAAAAATGAATTTAATCCAATTAAAAATGTATATATAGACGGACGGAGGCCCATTAGGAGAGGAAAGAAAAAAAGAGATAGTTAAATAAAACTTTTTACGATACGAAAAAGACAAAACGGGACGATAAAAAGAGTTTTAAGTGCACGGGTAGTAATGTCAGTCATTTTAAAAAGCAGAAATTAAGAGACATTTAACAGTCGACGTCGACATTGTGACACACAGTCGACCCTACACCTGAAGTAGCAGCGACGTCACATCATGACGTATGTGCCGGGGGTCCTTCCGGTTCCTCATGACGTCACAGTTAGGGTGAAGACGAAAAATGGCGGAGTGTTCCATCGCCCGCTGTTCCCAAGAGCGACGCTTCTTTCGTAAGGAATTACAAAAGTGGAGTAGGGATGTTTTATTTGTCGTGGGTGAGTATCTTAATCTTTTATATATTCGGGGATAAAATAGGTCGGTAGAAAAGTCTGTCGCGTGTTTAAATCCGGTGCGATGTTAGGGTTAAGATAAGGTTGCCGAATTTCCCCGACTTTGAAGCGGCTCGGCCAGTGCTATGATCGGCGTAAAACCTCCCCCTGCGCGACGGTCGTACTGTGATTACCGGCACCTCAACCATATTGCCGTGTATGGTGAGGTAAGGTGAATGGTTAGGGAGATTGTGAGGGAGATAGTTGGATGTTGGCATAGTAGGGAGGTCACACTAAACAGTTTAGGCGCTCTGACACCAGCCGCTCGTGTTATGACGGGGCGGGGGGTTGGTGACAATTGCCGAAAAACCAACAGCCGACGCCATTATGAAATTATACTAATGTTTTTAATTGAGTCCGACCCAAAGATCCACTTTCGGCCCGTTGTGTACACTGTAAAGTATAAAGTACGTCACTTCCGTGTTGACACGATCATATGATCGTGAATAGGGACTGACGGAATGGGTCAGTTTGTGCCTTCTCGGTGAGGCGACAGGTCGCACCTCTCAAAATGGCCGCCGTGTGACCTAATAATCAAGACTTGAGAAGAGGGCTATTAAGAATTGCCGTTTTAATTTCTCGTCTTTCGTACTGTCGTCTCTCAATATTCTATACGGCAACGTTCGAGTGTAAAACCCCGACAGCCCTGATTTCTCGAACACCTTCAAGGTTGTCGCGGTTTCTGTTCCAACTTTTTTTTTATACAGTTCAAGGAGATGATATGTTCTCAGGTAGATGTATCGTCAGGTGATAAAAAAAATGAAATGAAATAAAAAAAAAAAACAAAATGAATATATCAAATTTTCCCCGTTCTGATGTAAGGGCGACCGACCTTGTTGAAATTACAAAACTGTTGACCTTGGAGTATGATTTTGCTATCGGAAAATAACGTGTCCCACTACGTCGCCACTTGTTCTGTTGGACCACCTGTACTTTACGAGTGAGGGAAGTAACATATGTATAGAAAAGTATGATTTACATCTATACTTATCAGATAATCACCGAAAAGCATCTACACGTGCTCCGTGTTTAAAAGTCATATTTTGTCACCGAAAATTCCTCAAATTATTTAAAAATTTAATCCCGTGTTTAATGCATTTTTATTAATTTTTTTTTGTTTCTAAATTAATAAGGTGTGACCAATGTAAACTAGGTTACTTATATAGTTTGTTTACCCTAATAAACAACGACTTAAATTATTTTCATCGATTAATGAAAACTTTTACGAAACGTAACAATTCGTATTTTGTAAAATTGTAACAATAAATGTATTTAATTAAAAGATAAAATTTAACCAATATTTTGAATATTTAATTGTCAGATTTGAACAGATAATAGTGTTTTTCTATCCAAAATAAGCACAGTTTTCCTTATTACTTTTTATATTTTGTATTAATATTATTCTACAAGATAAATCGGAACGTGTATCTATTGTAATCAATACTATATTAATATAAAACTGTTTTGTTCCGTTCAAATTTGAGCCAAAGAGTTATAATTTCAGGTCAAAAAAGGAAAAAAAAAAGTCGCGAAATTTGTTCTGAGAAGCATTTTAACGTTCAGACATACAAACATATATATATTTTTTTCTTTTCAAATTCTTATTTTGCTTGATATAAAAAGAAGAGTGAAGTAAATACGGTTATCGAAATAAAAAAATGCAAACATTTATCGATTAATTGTTTTACGATAAAGTGAATTTTATATATTGTTCTTTAATATATTCTTGTTGTTGTCACGCTAATTACGCAATGACGGAATTTGGAGTGTCGAAATTGAAAATTTTGAATTTTTGATTGCATACGAGAGTAATGTTATAACAACAATAAGAAAGTTTTAAATTCGAATAACAATCATTGTTTTCTTATTATTATCTTGTGTTAAATCACTCGAAAATTGGATCAAACTTCGTTTTTCTGTGCATTTTCCTATTACAAAATATGCATGAAGTGTTACGCTAGTTATTATTAAAACAATACTTGAAAATATATGTATGTAAATTTATTTTTTTGGTTTTATTTTTGCCTGATGATGATAAATAATTGCTAATGATGATGGATGTATTTGAATTCGATACGTGTAATATTAGTTAACGACTGGTTTAGTTTGGTGTTTCGAGATGATTTCTTATCAGTTTTGAATCCGCTTTTGTGTGTGTTAGTGTTTAACTAGTTAGATAGATTATTATTTTTTATTTATCAGTCCGGAAACTGGCCCACCTTTACCAGACCTTAAGTTCCTGGAAGTTAGCAACGAATTCGACAAAAGGACGTGCCAAGCGTCAAGGTTATTTTCCCGAGAAAGTAAAATTCTTCCTAAAGTAATATTATTCCGCAGTTTAAATCGGACACTCTCAGTGATTTGAATTAAATATCTCTTTTTAGAATTCGAATTATTTTTAATTTCGAAAACGGACAATAAAACTAGGTTCGCTCCTTTTTGAGAAGTGTTCCTGCCGTCAAACTGCTTCCATTTTTATTTATTTATTTGGTTTAATAAAAGACTGCAAGTTGCATATAATGAAATTTGGTCACAGATAAGCTCTCTTCGATCACGTGCCCAAAACGTACTTTTATATAAGGCACGATGACTATCGAAGTCACAGGTTGCGCTATCGATTTTTGCCAAGGGTAGCAGCTAGCGTATTTGTTTCCAGAGAGCCACAAGTTGCCCGATACTTAATTTTGAATTTTATTCGATAATGCCAAATTAAGAAGAAAAAAAATCGTTTTACCGTTATTGCGTATTCGCTTTGACGTCACTGGAGGAATTATTCCGCTTTAATGACACACGGCGTTGGAAAAATCCACAGTTTTATTCATTTATTTTCCCCCTTTTTTTAGTTTTAATAAGTTATTTGTTGTTATTAAATTATTCCGTATAGCATATTATTATTATTATTACAGTATTATTATTCGATCGATCGACGATGACAATAATAATGAAAGAACAGTGACAGGTATCGTTAACACCTGTTTTTAAAAAGCTCTATAGTATAAAAATTGGGATACAAACGGTAATTACTAAATTTAACAGTTTTTGTTTTCTCAGAAGTATGTTTTATGTATATAAAATTACAAAAAAAGAATTATGTTGTGTAATTAAATTCGATTTCCGCGAATTGAAAAGGAAACTATTCTAGAGGTATCGTGAAATCTAAATAAAGTGCGAAATGCCGCGATAAACGGATACCCGACATTTAACGGATGTTGTTTCATAAAAATTTTAAGCGAATTCGCGAGTTTCGGGAGGGGGCGAGAGGAGACACGTGTCGCCCGAGTCACGTGACGCATCTCCACCGACCGTTTTTTAAAAATATATTGCATTTCCTGTTAGAAAATACCCAAAAACGTTTCGTTTCCTATTACGAAATCCTCTCGTAACTTCCTTTAGTTTATCTTAGTCACGTTATCGGTTGGATTTTTATTTAATCAACTGACCGATTTAATTAAAAAAATAAATACTTATAAGTATTTCTTTCTCTTATTTTTTTTTTAAAGAAAATTTATCTTGGTTTTCGTAATATGTCGAAATTGGAAAGCGGTATAAGGTAGAACCTACGATTGCAAGAATGCGGACAATAAACAAACGGTAATTTTTCTCGCAATGGTTGGTGACGGATTATATTTTCATATATATTCTATGTATATATATATATCCTTACACCTACATAGTAAATGCCCGATTGAACCATTAGCCGGATTTCTCATGTGGAACGACTTCTTACGTAACTTACGAAAAACGCTTTAGGAGGAAGGGTTTCGATACCTTTTTTGTCCCCCCCAAACTAATTTTATACCTATCCGTCCCTCGTACCTTAAGTCGTGTATGCCGTTTTTATCGTTGCCGCACGTCCTTGTATGAACGGGATAAAAATCAGCCCGTTAAAAGTTAGAGGTGACATTTAGAAATTCCTTAATGTTATTTTTATGAAATCGATTAAGATTTCGATTATCGGACAGCATTTAACACTTCGCGCCTTTCCTCGTCGAAACCGCATTAATCGTGACCAATCCAATAACGGGTTACGGGTTCAGATATTTCTCTGTTACCGATTCCGTCTACCAGACGAAGCAGTTAATGTCTAATGCTTCCTGTTGCATCGTCCTTCTTCTTCGTTTTAGTAATTCGGAAGGTTGCTGCTTTTTTTTTCTCCATCGCGCGCCTCAGGAAATGAAGAAAATGTCACCGCGCCCGAACAAAGAGAATTAAAAGAATCGTTATCGTGTTGTTTATGAATCTTTAATTAATCGTATAGCGTAAACTCTGATCCAGAAGAACCAGCTTTGTTGTTTTTTTATTTTATTTTTAATCCGCGACATTTTAGAGCTGGAAGATATGGTTGATGAGAAAATGCCGGATCTAGTTTGGCATTCCGGAAGTAACGTCGGAGAAAGTCGGTCGAATCTGCTCGGTGGTTTGGCTCGGTTTACCGAACATCACACGGTCATCATTCATAGTGCAGGTGTAGAATGCGTTTATATATCGTTTACTTATCGAGCCGGAATGTCGCCCGAATCGTAACTGGATGATTCCGACGTGTTTGCAGTTTAGAGTATTGCATTCTGCCAATCAGAACCAGCGTTATTCGCGAAATTCCGTTATATTAGATGAGAGGTGGCGATTAGTAGACGTTGTCGTCGTTAAAACCAGATCCCGCGTTTAACTTGTTTTTTTTTTCTTATACGCAAAGCCTTTAAAAAGTTTCGGCCGTCGATAATTCTATAAAATCCGATCGACGGGGAAAAATAAATACACGAAAAAAGTGCACCCGTTCCTTCCAGACGCCAACGAGAATCGATTGAATGATTGAAAAGAGAGTTTTATACATACATAAAATCACACCCTATCCGTTGTTTAAAGAAGTGGAAAAAAAAAGCAGACGGAAAGGAAAACTTCTTTTTCAATAATCGCATTCTCATCAGTAACCATGGAAACGGTATTAT